CCCTCCTCCCGGCTCCGTCCGCGTAACAGCAGAGCCGCTTCTGGTTGCAGCTGGGGTTCGAGGATGTGATCGCGGAGCCTGAGCTGACCCACTCCTTCGACAAAGTGTGGATCTGCAGCCACGCGCTGTTCGAGCTCAGCAAGTATCTGATCTACAAGTTCCTGACCCTGGTCCTGGCCGTCCCGCTGGCCCTGGTTGTGGGCATCGTCTTTGCCGTACTCAGCTGTTTGCACATCTGGTAAGCGCGTTGTGTCGCTCGTCGGTGCTTGGGCTTTTTAGGCAGCTCAGCAGAAGTCTTCTGTAGCGGCAGTGCCTAACTGTTGGTCACTGTCCTTACTACCGGTAGTTAGAATAACTTACATCATCTGCTTTATTTTTAAAGGGAGAAAAATGGAAACAATGCTTTCTCTGTGATTCAGTGACCTGCCTTGCTTTTGCTAGCCATCTGTCATGTCTATGTAAGCTCCTTGGGGCAGAGAGCCTGCTTTACCATTTCTATGGCACCTACTGCAATGCATTCCAGCCTCTGCTGGCTTCAGGAGTAATAATAATAATTGCTTGAAACTGGTTGTTAAATCATGTGTATTTGAAATGAAACACCTGGGCAGAAGTATTACTTACACCTGACACCTTCTCAGTACCGTTACCGCTTTCATTTTTTTTCCTCACAGACTGAAGAAAACTTTTGAGGGCCCAGCTCACTCTTTCTTTGCTACTGCCACAAAATCTACTGTCACTGCCTTGCATCTGGTACATGGCCACCTCTGGGTGCAGTGCCCCAAAGCACTTCCACCTAAGCAAAGAACCCCTGCTCAGCTCAGGAAAGCTGCTTCTGACCATGACCCAGGTTCACAGGCAAATTCAGGAGCCCTCTGAGTCACAGCAGACCTGGTGTACTTGAAACACAATATACTGGCAAAATATCAGGGAAGAGTATCTTGAGACCAGAAAGGCAGATGATTGTGGAGAAGGAAGAAAGGCAAGAAAAAGAATGAGGTTGAGGAAAGAACTGAGAATCCATCAGCCAGCAGAGGAAGGGTTGAATGCAGATTATAAATGTTATTCCTACAAACCAGGATTTTCCATATACGTGGGTTTTGGGTAGTCTCGTTTGACTTGGGTAACACTGGAATCAAGAAGTTGTTAAGGAAAACAAAATACAGTGCAGAAACTCTGAAACCAACTCAAAGCAATAGGAATACATTGGTTATCTGAACCCGTGTTTGCAAACTTGTGGGTGCAGATTTCAGTTTTTGAAAGTGGAATGGAAATCTCGGTTGATAACATTGTCATGAGCCACTTCAAAAACTGATTGATTCAAATTTTGGTGCATAGAGGTTGCATAATATCCAAAGGAGTTGCAGTGTAGTTTAGAGCTGCCCATGTGCTACTTCTCTGGTGCTCAGATTGTTATGAACGCTGTGTACTTTGCCCAGACTTTTAGGTCTGTCATCTGTCACTGTGCTGTAGTGTACTGTGTGACTGCAAAAGGGTACAGTGGGCATATACATTTCCAGTAATGGAATATCAATGGAAGAATTCATCAATGCTGAGATTATTAAGACTGTAATACTTTTTTGTCCTTCAGAATGATCTTGTATTGGATTTCACAGCCTGAGTATATAGACATGAGTTTCACTGAACCAGGGCTGAGAGGTCAGTTACTATTTATGCGAGGAGTCCCTAGTGACTCTCTCAGGAACTGAGGGTTCTCAGTACATCTGAAAGAGGACTGTCTGAATGTGGCACTTGATTTGAAAAGTTTCCCTTGAATTTCTGTGAACACACTTGCTTCCCCAGCAACTAATTTTCTTTCCCT